TGGTTAAATTTATTCTGACCAAGTTTTTATTTATTTATTTATTTTTTAAATTAAGCATTGGTCTCCCATAGTAGCATACATTTAAATCATGATAAACACAAAACCACACATATAGCACCTCAATACCATGGTATAAATATAACTATATGATTTTAGGTTGCCTATTTGTATGAAAAACTGTCTAAAAACATTCAGCATAAATGCACACATGCTATAGCTTAATCAAATACATACTACAATTATATACCATTACACCTTTAATTTTGGCTTTAAACTAGTTTAAATCACTGAGTCATTTGTGTTCATCGGTGAATTCAAGTGCTTCACACTGGATCTCACAGCGCTGCTTAATGCTTGCGTGATCGAGTAAATGCATCTGCTCTAGTGAGCTCGCGCCACGCTGCAGTTTGAACTTTGATCCGAGCGGATAAACGGTCCGTGTGGCACGATTCAAATGAGTCGCGCTTTTTCGTTCCGCTTTTGGCGCATAAACATTATATCGAACATTTATCGAACTCTTCATATCGGTTTATCAAGGAAAATATATCGCGATAAATATCGTTATCGAATTATCGCCCAGCCCTAAAATCTATTTAAAAATGTAAGATTTTTGTTTGTGCAGCATTTTGTCCAAATCCACCTGTAGCATAAATACCTTATCAGAAATGGAAACTGCTTTGTCATAGATGTTTAAAGGAGTGATCTAGGGGTGTGAGTGCCAGCAAGTAGTGCAAAGGCAAAGCATAATGATTAGACTAAATAAGACATCCATTCTGAGTCAGTCATGAGATTTCAAAGATAAATGACATGATATGAAAGGTCTCTCCATATGCAGCAGACAGCGGCTCCCTGATGGTCTGGATTCAACTGCAATCAACACCAGCGCCCATCCTCCCTAACCTTGAACCCTGACCTCCGTCCTCCCCTTTCACATATGTTAACACACTGATAATATTGTGCTGTCCTGCCTCCCCTCCTTCCCTCCCTCCTCACCCTCTCTTCCCCTCCCCTCCACCCCCCATCTCCCCCACATAGACTCTCTCTGGAGATAATGACCATCCTCTGTCGCTGTGAGAATATCGAAACTTCGGAGGGTGTCCCCTTGGATGTGACAGGGGTCGCTCAGGTAATCACACTGAATGAAACAAGCCAACCTAATGAGACAGTGAGAACAATTTCAAGCGCTCAGGATGTGAAGAGCGGTGGCCTGGTTCCATTTCCTAAGTTACACACATACACATGCTCTCACGCTCTCTTCCACACTCTTGTGTTGGTCTTCCTCTGCAGTGAAGGAGAGCAAGTCATCTCTCACTATCCTTGTCTGGAGTTTGGCTACGCAGCGCTCATGGCTCATGTAACTAATGTCTCACGTCAGCCTGTTTTGACTGTTGAGTCTGTAATGGATGACGAATGTATCAAACGGGCTTTCGGGAATATTATGGGTTGGGAAATCCAAAGGATGCCATTACAGCCCACGGTTAAAACACCTGATTTGTGCTGACCAAGTGGTTGTGTCTTTGTATTTTCACCCTACAGATTCATTTTGTGTTTGTGTTTACCTTCACGTCTTTCTTTAATCCCACCTTCTTTCCTGTTTTCACGCCGCTTGACATTCTTCCCGTAGATCATAGCCAACTTTTTTGGTTTGTTTCCCTTTTTGCGTTTTCCACAGGATAACCCTTGAGATTATGACCCTGCAACCCAAGTGTGAGGATGTAGAGACAGCGGAGGGGGTAGCTATTACTGTCACAGGTGTGGCACAGGTAAACCACCTTACCTCACCTAACCTCAGCTCCAAATGCCACTTTCAGGTTTGCCAGACTGGTTTCAGACCCAGCACCCCTTTATCATTCTTTTTCCTCTCATTTCCTTTCCTTCCCTTCTTTTCTGGTCTCTGAATTTGACCCCCCCCCTCAGGGATGAACAGTGCCAATCATAGTAGGTTTACCAGACTGAAGGTCACTGGTTTGTGCTTGACATGATGAACTGTTGGGAAAACTGGAAAAGTTGTGGGTACTTACTAAATGCTCATTTACTGCTATTTTGGGGGAAAGCGTTTTCTGTTAAAAAACAAAACAAAAAACATAACAATTTACAAGAATGGCTCTGTTCCAGTGAGATGTCTTGGTGTATATACTGCCTACGTAGGCTGAAACGTAACTCTTATACAGTAAGTGACTTTAATCACTAGATGCAACCCAGGATGTTGTACGTCCTCAGACTCTGAATTATGCCTTTCTATGGCAACACTATTAAAGCCTAAATGAAGGTATAGTTCACCCAAAAATGAACATCGTTCCAAACCCATAAGACTTTTGTTCATCTTTGGAACACAAATTAAGATATTTTTGATGAATTCTGAGAGCTTTCTGACCCTCCGTAGATGGCAATGGAACTACCACATTCAAGGCCTAGAAAGGTAGTAAGGACATAGTTAAAGTAGTGACAATTTGTGACAATTTCTTCAATGATTTCTTCTCTTCCGGGTCAGTTTCTGCCGCCATTCACGAGAGTACCACGATGCATACATGTGCATTCCTCTACTTGTAAACAATGCTCAGTGCATCCGGGTTCTACGTCAGAATGCCGGCTCCGGCGTCAGCAGCACCACACGCATTCATCGTGGTACTCTCGTGAATAACGGCAGAGACTGACTGGAAGAGAAGAAATTGTTGAAGAAAGTAGGGCTGTCAAAATGGCTGGAAAACTAAATTCGAATTTTGTACTTAAATATGATCAAAATTCGAATTATATTTTAATTTAAAATTCATAATTTCAGTTAGGGTGAAGAAAAGCTTTTGACTTCTCTCCTGAGGCCACAAGAGGGCGCATCGAGCAAAATATTACTAATGCACGTTTATTCAGTAAGATAACATGACTGTGAAAAAAAGTGCATAATGTTTATAAACCATATATAATTAATTAAGTTGCTTAAACAACTATAAACAAAACAGCATCATGTATGTATGCATAGTTTAATAGAAAGGGCGGAAAGCCAATCACACAGAGTACATTTTTCATTTAAAAACATGAGATGCAGTGAGATGGGGGAAAAACCAGCCAAAAAGTCGATATATATGTTTTTTTAAAAGTTAAACCTACATTAATTTTACATGGCTTTCTAAACACGCGGCTCTTTTGTGCGAGATGCGAGTGCAACAGTGATAGATGTCCCTCTAGAAAATGCATGAAATATGCTTTCTGTGTAAACAGCTTGGTTTCAGTTTTGACGTAAACAAGATTTTCTCCGCATTGATGTTCTCTTTTTCCGCAATATTTTCGAAAAATCAGCAGCAGCGCCGCATCTAGTGGCTTCAACTGGATAGTCTAACAAAAACATTATAATGCAACGACACTTACATCGTCATCGCATCTCGTGCGCCACTGATAAGGCTGTCTGACGCACACCTAAAATTTGAATGCAACGTTTTTGCATTCGAATGTGGATTTTTCTTTTAAATTCAACGAATATTCGAAATTCGAATTTTTTTTGACAGCCCTAGAAGAAAGTCGTTACTTTTGTTTTCTCTGAGCACAAAAAGTATTCTTGTAGCTTCATAAAATTAAGGTTGAACCACTGATGTCACATGGACTATTTTAACGATGTCCTTACTATTTCTCTGGGCCTTGAACGTGTCACGTTACACTGCTGTCTATGCAGGGTCAGAAAGCTCTTGGATTTCATTAAAAATATCTTAATTTGTTTTCAGAAGATGAATGAAGGTCTTGCTTGTTTGGAACGACATGAGGATGAGTAATTAATGACAGACTATTCAATTTGGGTGAACTATCCCTTTAAGTCATCAATAAACAAAACTACAATACAGCAACTAACAAATGCCTTATTAATGAAGTTAAAATTTATTTAGCAGGATATTAGATTAAGACATTAACAGTAGTCAATTATGAGAATTATTATACAGAAGTTTTATGAAATAACTACATTTTACCACTGTAGCCATCGCCATTCAAATGTTTTCTCATGACATTACAATGGTCAGGTGGTAAAAGTTGTAACTCTTAGAAAATTCAGAGTTTACAAGTTGTAATTACAAGTTCTACAAGGACATTAAAGAGATAGTTCACCCAAAAATGAAAATGTGATGTTTATCTGCTTACCCCCAGGGCATCCAAGATGTAGGTGACTTTGTTTCTTCAGTAGAACACAAACGGAGATTTTTAACTCCAGCCGTTGCAGTCTATCAGTTGTATAATGCATGGCAATGGTAACAAAATCTATGAGAGTAAAAAAAAACATGCACAGACAAATCCAAATTAAACCCTGCGGCTCGTGACGCACATTGATGTCCTAAGACACGAAACGATCGGTTTGTGCGAGAAACCGAACAGTATTTATATCATATAAATCATTTCATTTACCTCTAATACACCAGCAGATAAACATCACATTTTCATTTTGGGTGAACTATCCCTTTAATGCTTTTTAAGTCTAAAATTCAAAATCTCATAATTACTTTAATTCACCTACTCGTATTGGGAGTGCCTTATAATGCCGCAAACTATAGGTTTTAGAACAGAGCCAATATGTTGCCACATTCTGTGACCTTCATGTTATTGAAGTGTAGATGTTACAGATGTTTTTAATTGTTTTCTTTTTTCAAGCATCTAAAAGCTTTTCTCGAACAGACAAAAGGAATCTGGATGAAATTATATGCTGATTAGTTTCATTCTTTGATTTCTTTACCTTGACAGTTTTTTGATTGCTCTTGTTTGTCAGTGTGCCAAAACTTGCAGTGTGTAACTGAACTCACATGTTTGCTCTAATGAACATTTCTCTGCTCTTTTGAAAACTCAACTTCAAGAGGAAATACCAATTTCCACTATGGTTACAACTGAGCATTTTGCATTACCTGTGTTGCAAGATCTTTAATTTCAGTTCTCAAAGCCTGATTCTTTTATTCAAGTGTTATTTTCTCTCTGTGAATACTTAGTCTGGTGTGAACAATGAGAGCATTATAACTCAAAGAGGCAGTCCAACTATTACAGGGCATTTATTTCTGGTAGTCGCATGTGATTGGATGAGGAACTTAAACAAGACATTCCACAATTCAGTCTGCATAGAGGCTTGAGCTCAAGGTCTCTCCGTAGAGAGACTGTATGATTACATTTGTCTACTGTATCAAAACAGTGAATGTTTTTCAATAAAAATGAGTCTAATATACTGCTTTGCCCTGCATGTTATACCTAGGGGTGTAATTTGGACATTTCATCATTATATTTATTCTCTTAGCCAGTAATACAATATTTGCTGATACCTCAAAACATACCACATTATGATTTAAAACAGTGAACTTTATGAAAATTGCAAATTCTGTAGTTCAATTGGGGCATCCACATAAAAAAATACTGAATATTAAAATAATGGGGGGGGGGGGTCAAGTTGCACATCTGTCATCTGATCGTTGGCTTGTCCAATGAGATACGCACTGACAACAGTCAAGAAAGTTTTTCAGTCTTTCAGTCAGTGCTCTAAAATGTGCACATCTAGTTATCCCCATATTGATTTATTATGTGTTGTATCATATTGTTAGTCTCTCATTTGATTGATTGCATCAATCCGTATCAATTTATCATTACGTCCCTAGTTATACCCCCTCAGTTTTAGAGCAACTGTGGGAAGTCTGTCTCATGTGTTTTGTAAATTGAGGCCTTGCAGCTGTTGAACTAATGGACCCACTTATCTGTTGGCCACCCAGTCCTCTGCAATATCCTCCTCCTTGAGTCTGTTTTCTATTATGAATCAATCCTCAGATATGTTCACCAACAAACAAAGATACAGATACAGATAACAGTAGCACTGTGGGTTTGAGTTGTGTTTTTTTTTCTGAGTTCAAGATAACTTTGTTTTCTTAACAACCTGGAAAGCTTCAAGAAGAGAACGTCTTTTTTTTTTATCCTAGAACACATTTTCAGTCTTGCCCTACTTTCGTTTTTACTATGTTGCATGATTGCACGATTGCTGTGGTTTCCCATGAGCGCAACATGTGAATGGTTCTTTTTGTTTTAGTTTGGGGGAAATTGTTGTCACCAGTGCACACAGCCTTCATTTGAATGCTTGTTAAAGCATGGCTCCCCATGTTGACTGTAAATGCTACAACATTCCATTGTTACTGACATTTTTGATTTACATGTCTGTCCTGAATGACTGCTGGTTCTGAAATAACTCAATTAGACTCCATTAATGATTAAACTCTGTACTATTGATCTTTTACACTGGACTATCAAGACTGTTCACACCAAAGTATTCAGCAGAAAAATGTGTCTGTTCAGACCAATTTTAGAAAAGCAGAAATGCCCTGGTTTTGTGTAACAGCAGCAGCTTTGGGCATGTAACCAAAAGTACAAAGGTTATTGGTTGGCCAGTTTTCTTCGCCATGCGATCGAAATTATCATCTCTACATGAAAATGTTAAAATGTTTATTGCATCAAATTTTTGCACTGAATATTAATCTTTGTGTGAACTGTCCTTCATTCTGAGAAATACTAAAAATGTAATTTCAGAATTTATATTTGGAAATATGGTTCCAGACCTGGAACATTTATCTGGAGCATCAGCCATACTAGACCAACCATCACCAGATGCCAACTCCTGTGGAGTCATTTGAGATTCATTTTACGGCTAATGTTTTCCCCCACCCACATTAGTGGCAACATTCTGCTGTGTATTGAATTGCTGGTAATATACCACATCTTTAACTGTTTGATGACTGCTCGGCTATGGGATGGATGCACAAACACACTCTTGCCAGAGTTCACCTTTGACACTGCACTGAAATCAGCTTTCGTCATAATCACGTACTGCTGAAATAACCAGGCCACATGCAGATTTTTTTCAGCTCTGAAAAAAAAAAGTTTTTTATGTTTAAATGGGAAGCTGATTGTAGTTCAATAGAGAGGGGCGGCTTCTAGCCCAAACTTTAAACCTACAAAAACTCACCCCTCTCTTTCTGATGCATGATTTCATTCTCCTTTCCTTTTCACAGCCATGGAGAGAGATTGTTTTAAAATGTGTCTCATAGACTCATAACTGGTGAAGGGGTGGAAAATCCAGACCTTGGGTTTGCACATTGGTTGCATTAGAAATGCCTCTCGGTTATTCCTGACGTTATTTTATTTTTATTTTTTACTTTATTTTGCATGCAGACATGGACATTTAGACCCATTTTTTTGAGTTCGTTCTCCCATCAGGTTTGGTTTTACCACCCTTTACATTAATTGTAAATTCCATTAAAGGGATAGTTCAACCAAAAATGAAAATTCTGTTATTAAATACTCACCCTCATGTCGTTCCAAACCCGCAAGACCTTTGTTCTCATGCGTGGCACTCTCGTGTGTATGCGTGTTGAAGACTGACACGGAAGAGAAGAAATTGTTGAATAAAGTCATTATTTTTGTTTTCTTTGTGTACAAAAAGTATTCTTGTAGCTTCATAAAATTAAGGTTGAACGACTGATGTCACATGGGCTATTTTAACAATGTCATTACTACCTTTCTGGGCCATGAACGTGTTAGTTGTGTTGCTGTCTATGCAGGGTCAGAAAGCTTTTGGATTTCATCAAAAATGTCCGAAGAAGAACGAAGGTCTTACGGTTTTGGAACGACATGAGGGTAATTAATGACAGAATTTTCATTTTTGGGTGAACTATCCCTTTAATTCATACTAGGGCTGGGTGTTATAGATACAAATGTCTCTATTTTCTTAGCTTTTTGATAATACTGTGTATATCTCAATTTTTATACATTTAATCACTCTGACTTGCACTCTACATTAAAAACTCAATGAACAAATAATTACAAAAAGCAATATTCACAATATTACTTTAATTTTACATCTATGTAAATGAATGAATCTTAAATATATTGTAAATGTTCTATATATATATATATATATATATATCGCTCAGCCCTTCACTCTGCCTGAATGTAATGAGACATTTGGTCTCTTTAAACATTTTATTTCATATTCTTTTACATACTGATTTGCAAGCTTTTGCATGTAAATTCAACATGGCATAAATACTGACTGAAGCATGTCCCTCATTCAACCACAACCTCAGTTATACACAACATCCATCAGATTTGATTGTGCTTAATGTCTTTCCCTCACACCTGCAAAATATGCTTTTAGATGTGTCAAACTGCAAGTGTTGATCTAATATTATATATAAGATGCTAGAAGATTCTGAGTGTCTCTGAAACATTTTTGCTGTATTATATAACAATTCATAACCATAAATGTGTACAGTAACACAACGGCCGTCTGTTCTACTGTCTGAGAGCATGGTATAGAGCTCTAGGTGTCAATGGCATGCTGTAATCCAGTGCATGTGTTCTGCTACCAGGTGAAGGTCATGACTGACAATGAGTTGCTGGGTTATGCCTGTGAACAGTTCCTGGGCAAGACCGTGGCAGAGATTAAAAGTGTCATTCTGCAGACACTGGAAGGTCACCTGCGCTCTATTCTGGGTGAGTGACGCCTGACACTTGTGTCCATCTCAAATGCCACTCTCTTACCTTCACTGTGAAGAGTTCAGACAGTGTGCACAGTTAATGTTAGATCGAAGTTCTTGCCAGATGAGCAACATGACCAGCAACCACTCTTTCAACAGATATCTCAAAGTTTGAGACATTATGTGGTTAAAAGCTTCCTCTGCTTTCACACTGCATTTAGAAAATGTATATATCCTTTATAATGACAAACTCCAATCAATTTCCAATCAAACATCATGACTTCATCATGACATTCACATCCTCACAATCTCATTTGCCTTTAATTACAGGGACTCTGACGGTGGAGCAGATCTACCAGGATAGGGATCAGTTTGCCAAGCTGGTGAGGGAGGTGGCGGCACCTGATGTGGGCAGGATGGGCATTGAGATCCTAAGCTTTACTATCAAGGTGTGCTTACATTTATATGGATAGAGTTTCTGTTTTATTTTGCTTTTATATTTGTGTTTTCGACAATCAGTCAGTGTCTTTCAAATCCATTGCAGTTGTCAGGGTGAAAATGTTATTGGTTTTCTCCCATCAGGATGTGTATGATAAGGTGGACTATTTGAGCTCCTTGGGGAAATCCCAGACTGCTGCTGTTCAGAGAGATGCTGACATTGGTGTGGCTGAAGCAGAGAGAGACGCTGGAATCAGGGTGAGCTGACGAAATGAAAGACTCACTTTCCATGCATATAGAACAAAATAGAGTCTGAAACTCTTAGAAAATTGAAATACATAATTTGGGAAAAGAAAAAAAAACCTTTGCAGATAAATGGTCAAGTGAAAATATTTATCATCAGGATGTCAAAACAAGTTTTATGTTCATTTTGTTAGAATATAGAACATTCCGATTAGAATAACTTTGGACATAGCTGAAAAAATAAAAAGAGAACTTGAAAAATTTGGTGTCATTCTGCAAGGACACATTAAATTGACCAAAAGTGACAGTAAAGACTTGCGTTGTTATAAAAAAAGATTTCTTTAACAAATGAATGCTTTTCTTTTGAACTTCGTATTCATTAAAGAAACCTGAAAAAATGCATCACGGTTTCAACACAAATATTAAGCAACAAAGCTGTTTTCAGCATTTATAGAAATGATAAATGTTTCTTGAGCACTAAATCAGCATATTAGAATGATTTCTGAAGGACTGTGTGACACTGGAGTAATGGCTGCTGATAATTCAGCTTTGTCATCAAAGGAATAAATTACATTTTAAAATATTTTACAATAAAAACACTCATTTTGAATTTTAATAATATTTTACTATTTTACTGTATTTTTGATCAAATAAAGGCAGACTTGGTAAGAATAAGAGGAATCTTTCAAAAACATAAATCTTACCAACCCCAAACCTTTGAAGAATGGTATACAGTATATACAGTTTAAAATCCTTTTGTCATAAACACGAAGTAAACATCAAAATTAAATGACAAATTTTGATAAAAGTTCCAAAACCAAAATTAAGATTTCACCTAGTACAGGGCTGGCCAGTTTAAGACCAAATGTTGATTTTTTTTTTTTGGTAATTAAAATGAACTTACAATTGTTTTGACCACAGTTGCTAAAATATGAATTCAGCAGACTGACACCAAAAATCTTCAAATGTTGATTTTTTTTTTTTTGGTAATTAAAATGAACTTACAATTGTTTTGACCACAGTTGCTAAAATATGAATTCAGCAGATTGAGACCAAAAATCTTAGGGCAGCAAATTTGATTTTAATCCAAAAAAAAAACAAAAAACTGGGAAATGTGAAAAAGCAAGTGGTGTGGAACTTTTTTTCTTAAATTAGGAAGCAGAATGTAAGAAGGAGATGATGGATGTTAAATTCCAAGCCGATACAAGAATGGCAGACTCAAAGAGAGAGCTGGAGATGCAGAAGGCTGCCTTCAATCAAGAAGTGAACACAAAGGTAGAGCTAAGTTATTCCTCTGGTTATTTTAATACTGCAGATGCACTGGTAAATTAATCATGTGACACCCAAAACACAACATATTTAATCATTCTTTCCTTCACTTATTTCAGAAAGCTGAGGCGCAATTGGCCTATGAGCTTCAGGCAGCCAAGGAGCAGCAGAAGATCAGACTGGAGGAGATTGAGATCGAGGTGGTTCAGAGGAAGAAGCAGATCACCATTGAGGAGAAAGAGATCCTCAGGACAGATAAAGAGCTGATCGCCACCGTGAGGAGACCAGCTGAGGCTGAAGCCTACAAAATGCAGCAGCTCGCAGAGGCACAGAAGTGAGTAACACGAGTGAGAGGGAATTAGTGAGTTTTATATCTAAAATTGGTATATTTAGTTTAAGGGAGCCAGATAAGAAAGGCAAGAACAAAGGCCTCATGAAGTCATTCTGTCTTCTGCTCCTCTCTGTCAGGATAAAGAAGGTGTTGACGGCACAGGCTGAAGCGGAGAAGATCAAGCGTATTGGAGAAGCAGAGGCCGGCTCCATTGAGGCTGTGGGTAAAGCCGAAGCAGAGAAGATGAGGCTCAAAGCTGAGGCCTATCAGCAGTACGGAGAGGCTGCAAAGACTGCCCTCGTCCTGGAGGCTCTGCCAAAGGTGTGTGGAAGTCTGGGAACTTCTGAACAAATTTGATTACAGTAATTACAGATGCAGTGTGTTTCAGTTTTTTATTTTTCTCTTAACTTTGATCAGACCTCTCCAACACTACCAGTAGTTAAATAAGTTTAAGCTGAGTGTGTTTTCATTGTGTTAACATGTCAGTGAATTTGTATCATCACAGATTGCTGAACAGGTGGCAGCACCCTTACGTCGTACCAATGAGATTGTGATCCTGAGCGGCGACGGTGGCCGTGTTACTGGGGAAGTGAATCGTCTGTTAGCTGAACTACCTGTTTCTGTAAACGCCCTCACAGGGGTGGATCTGTCCAAGGTGAATACATGTAAACTACTGATCAAACGTTTAAAATGAAGGCTGCATTGATTTGATCAAAAATAGAACTGTAATATTATGAAATATACTATTACAAACATATCTGTTTTCTATTGAAATATATTTAAAAATGTAATTCATTCCTGTGATGACAAAGCTGAATGTTCAGCAGTCATTATTCCAGTCTTTAGTGTCTATTAATCCTAATTTAATGTGTCCACACAGAATAAAAGTATTCATTTTTACTGATCGCAAACTTTAAAATGTTAGTGTAGGCTCTCATTTAATATGGTCATAAAAAAACCTCATACGTAATTATAAAAAATAATAAGCATAGTGCTGTTTAGCATGTTATATATCAAACCTGATTATTTTTTGACATTAGTATTTTTTTCAGAGGTAGAAGAGAATTAGGGAATGAATAACCACCAGGATCAAGTAAAATATATTATGTTTTGTCAGTATAAACATGTAAATAAATGTGTTGTTTCTCTACAGATCCCTTTGCTTCAGAAAATGACCAATCCTCAAGCTTGAACACGCTCCTTTGACTCTGCTGCCTTTCTGACACTCCCATATTGATTGCCTTGAAAAGAAACAAGCTGTTTTCTTTTTACAGAAACGAGGAATTTATATTTTAGACCCCTGGTGCCTTACCTCTGCAGGACCAGAATCTCGTCACTTATATCCTTTTTTGTCTGTTTTTTTGCCTCTTTTGTTGAAACAACATACCTCAATTATAGTTATTTTGTTAATCGCAGAACTGTATCATAAAATTCACTAGTGGGCAGCTGCAGATGTGTGTGTGTATGTAGTGATTTAGAAGACAAGGAAGTATTTCCATTTGAATTGGTAGCTAAGGTTGTATTCACAGTTACGTTTATGCAATGTATGAAGATATATAGAAGTATAGTGTAGAAGAGCCATTAGGTTTGTTACAGCATGTTTATTGGATTGATCAACTGGGCCTTTGAAATCATTCATCATTGTGAAGACATTTCTGTTCAGGTCAAATAGTGACACAGTAGTGAGGAGAACTGACTTTTAGTTTATCTAACCAATACGTTTAGACATAGGTTCATTTGTAAACATCTGTTTTGTATAGTTCAAACAGGAAGCACTGTAGTCATTTTTTAAAGTAGGATGAAAACAATCTTTTTTTTTTTTTTTACTTTGCTTTTAGGGTTGTAGGTCAAACCACGCGTTCACTGTGCAGTCGTTCATCTAAAACTTACGCCATGTGATTCATAATCATATCTGTATGTATATTCTTTGAGAATGTTTTGCCTATTTTTGGATAATAAGTAGTGGTCCAAATGCATTTTTACTGACACCCCAAGCAAAGGCAAAAGTATCTTTATTTTTTCATTGCAGAAAACCTCCGATATAATTTACCTCATCCAATGTTTATGCAGACGATAAAGCTTTGGTCCTCTTCTGTTGGCTGCAAGTAAGATTTTATGACTGCAGCCAAACTGACAGTACAGAACCCAGTGCACTTTTTTGTCTACTGTTAAATCTACAAATTTGGAGAGTGATACTGTGCATTTTTAGTTGAGCATCTACCATGTTCATAGTTTCCTTGAAGATACTCTGTGCCTTACAGAGTTTTCCCCATATTGAATAACTTCAGTTATTTTTTTAATTCAGTGATGCAGCTTGATTATAACAGGTCTTCTTCCTCTTTTTTTATGTTTTAACCGCAATATTTTAAATAATGTCACATGTATTCTGTTCCTAAAGTGCTAATTATCATCATTCAGATAATGTGAGAGCTCTGTCAAGTATATGTCAATTAACTCTGCTTCAACTGTTTTTTCCCCATTGAGAGTGACTATATTTTAGTGTTTTGTTGTCTTCTGGTTTTCAGCTTGCTATTGTGTTATGAAAATACAAATCAATTTGCCAAACATCAGTAGGTCAAACAGTATATCTGCATTTATTTTACATTGCTGCTGAATCAGAAATGATTGGGTTTTTTGCTCATTGGTAATCAGATGCGAAATGAAAAGTTTTTGTTTTGTTTTTTTACAGTTCACTTTGGCAAAAGTATTTGTGAAACAATGTTCTGTTTGTCAGAAACAAGTTCATTAAAATTGATGTTCAATTTTCATTCTTCAAAATGAAGTGTGTTTGTTATTTTACATCAATATCTGTTTCAGCTGGGAAAAAGGTAACTGTGCTTTAAAAATGTAGCCATTGTTTATAAGATGTTGCATACTTTTAAAATCAACTTCAGGCTTCGAATACTTTTCTATGTTCTTGTTTCTGAGCTGAGTGTGTTTGTTCTAGAGTTGTGTGATATTTCCATCACGAACAATCACATACTGAGAATGTGTTGTATAGCAGTGCATATAGTTAATGCCTATAACTTGTTGTAGAATGAATATACAATATATGTATCTAATAAGAAATCTGTTTCTGATCAGTCAATAAATTCATCTTGATTTGACTTTTTTGCGTGTCAAATATTTGCTGTTTTACACTAGACTGAAAGATGCACAGCAGTGTCAGTAGAGTCTATGCTGTTTGTAAAGGCAACTTTACATTGCTAAGAAAAGTTATAGTTGTGATGACTTTTTTAAAAAATGCAAACTTAACCCAGAACTCTGTATTTAGGTTTAATGTAAAATATGAAACCCACACAGGGTCAAAAATTTGAATAGAAACAGCAAAAGTGTGGTCTGCAGAATTACTTGAAGTCAATTACAACTCTGAATGGTTTCATGTTGACTTTAGACGTTTAGCAGTTTAAAGTTCAGACAGACAGTAACCGACTAAACATAAATATGGACATTAGTGACAACTAACCACCTCATATCCCGCTGAAAATATTTACATTCTTTTGTTGGGAAGCCCTCAGTGTTCAACTTGAATCTGCTTTGTAAACTACTAATGCAGTGCAGGAAATGAGCAACAAAATGAGGCATAATTCAATGATGACTGAAAAACTTCATTTCCCAGGCTGCTGTTCACAGTAATATTCAGTTTGTGGTCTGGCACTGACATAGTCCATCTGTGATCTGTGTTCAGTCTGGCTGCTCAGCATGCTGTTTAATGTGAACTGCTGATCGATGTATTCCTGCAGCGCTGGATAAATCTGCGGACGCAGCTCTCGGTCTGAGCCACGGAGGTACTGCTCAGGTTGGGGGGGATTTTGCAGGACCTTCCCCGATGGTCCTGAGGCTAAAGCTCGAAAATGGATCCTGTTGAGGATGTCAGTGAGGGGCCTCAGATTAGCATAGTCAGAGCCTGGGGTCATCTCCAGGTTCCTCAGAGCACTTTCAGGGAGTTGCATCCGGCTCAGTTTGGGAGGCAGAGGGAGGGGCAGCTCCATGTCAGGACATTGTCGTGAGGGATGTGGAGGGGTCTGAAAATAAGGCTGGAGCTGGATGATGGATCTGCCTGGGGTTTGAGAAGCTGGGCTGCAGTGGTGATGGTGCTGCTGAGGGTTTAGAGGGCTGCTGAGGTTGGTGTCTCCTGTGGAGGACTGGACACAGAAGCTCTGGGCCACGGGCAAAGCTGCACACAGACTATGGAGGCTGGAGGGTCTGGCTTCTCTGGGACTTGGAAAAAAATTCACAGCATTATTTTGAGACAAAACTCTCAAGTCTGTATTTCGCTGTTGTCTAGAAAGTGATCTTGATGGATACAAACGTGTCACTTTTCAGTGCCGTTACAAATCAAAGAAATTCTATGGTTTAACATTTGAAAACAAATAAATTAAGAGTTTTACTTGTAATTTTACTCTTGTTCTGTAAAAGAACATTATTAAATACATTATTTGACAGTACAATAGTATTATTACTACAGTAATACATTTCGTTCATATATTAATTTGTTTCTTTTTTTTAATTTTGTTCAAAAGGAATATTTTGTAATAATAATAATCAGTAGTAATAGTATTTTGGAGGACAATGCCTTTAGTTATCAAAAACAAAATGTAAGCTTTGTCTAAAAAGTAATAAACTGAGAAAAAATTTAATCTCCAGAGATCCAAATGTGTCACTATTCAGCAAAAATTGCAGCATTCAAACTAGGTTTTAGGCCAAAATAAAAGCTCTGTAGCTTAACATTTGAAAGCAAAGAAATAAAAAATTACTTTTAATTTTATTCATGTTCTGTAAAATGAAATTATTTTTATTATTTATTTATTTTTAATTTTACAGTACAATAGTATTATTACTACAGTAATATTTTAAATATTCTTCATAGGGTATTATGAAGAATATATACCCCCCCCCCCAATATTGCCATGCTAAAATTGAAATATTTTGTAATAATAATAATCAGTAGTAATAGTATTTTGGAGGACAATGCCTTTAGTTATCAAAAACAAAATGTAAGCTTTGTCTAAAAAGTAATAAACTGAGAAAAAATTTAATCTCCAGAGATCCAAATGTGTCACTATTCAGCAAAAATTGCAGCATTCAAACTAGGTTTTAGGCCAAAATAAAAGCTCTGTAGCTTAACATTTGAAAGCAAAGAAATAAAAAATTACTTTTAATTTTATTCATGTTCTGTAAAATGAAATTATTTTTATTATTTATTTATTTTTAATTTTACAGTACAATAGTATTATTACTACAGTAATATTTTAAATATTCTTCATAGGGTATTATGAAGAATATATACCCCCCCCCCAATATTGCCATGCTAAAATTGACAGTAAATCCCCATTTGAATAAAAATCAATCTTGATAAAAATTTCTTCCATAGAGGGCTCTTACCCTAGAAAAAAAAGTAATATATATATATATATATATAAAAAAAAACATTTATTTCATACTAAGTATAGTTCAAATCTATTAACATATTTACTGACATATCGCTCATGACATATCATCGATATAAAAATTGTAATTAAACTTTATTCTGCATATCACTTGTGCGCAATGCACATTTCTTAATATTAAGCCTAAAATGTGTTTTAATATCACTACTGATGAGGATTGCATGATCTTTGTATAATATTGGTCTTTAAAATCAAGATTTAAATCATCATTTAAAGTGTACCTGAAGTGTACTTGCAATAGTTCCACTTTAGCACATTCAAATATACTTCAGTATTTCTTTAGTTAGACTTCAACACTACTTCTGCACAAAATTAGTTGTTCCAATTTAGCAGACTTAAAGTATACCAGTTTAGTATACCAAAAGTACAATTGCGGGATATTTTTATTAAGTGCATAAATATGTAAATGTAAACTTAGCATGAAATAAATGCATTCCAAATAAGTCTTGGGCTGTAGGGTGATATGGCTGTGGCGTACATAATATGTGTGTGTATACTGTAAGAAAAATATATAATATTTATATATTAAATATATTTATATATAATATAAAATATAAGAATATGAATACATAAATGTAAATATTTTTAAAATATATACTGTATGTGTGTATTTATATATATATACATAAATATACACAGTACACATACATATATAATGTAAACAAAAACTTTTATTTTGGATGCGATTAATCGCGATTAATCATTTGACAGCACAAATTCCAAATACATTTTAGTAAATTTCATTTTCACTAGGCTACCTTTGTCACCTTTTTTCACCCCTGATAAGTTTGCATCCCTGAATTTCTAAGATTAATTGTAATACTTCAGTCTAGAGCAAGAATTAATATTTTCCAGCAGAACTGTGGCATAATAGTATGGTTTGATTATAATGTGATATTCACTGCATCACAAAAATTCCCAGGCAGAATCAGAGCCAGACTCACCTGTTCAGGTGTCTGTTACTGAGGCTGAGAATGGTGTGTGTCTGATGGGGTGAAGGTCCTCCAGCAGTGCTGGGGTTTATGAAGGCTGATATGAAAGGGTTGGGGGTGACCGAGGAAGCCACTTCTGAAGAATTCAGTGTTCTTCTGCAGTCAACAGAGCTGGACACGGTCACATCCACTTCCTCATCCTTCTGTGGCTGTCCTACTGTTTGTGGACAGAAGAAGAAATACACGATTTAGAAAAAGAAAAAAAGCTAATTAAGAGGTAAATAAAATATAGGGCACATAAAGGTGACCCTCATGATTGAGGTTAAAAGTCCCCTTCTGCTGCCCTCTGCTGGGCACCAGGTCATAGCACCAGAAACAAGAAGCGACACTGGTGCATATAATGTGAAGCTACATTGAATATTATTATTATTATTCTCTTGGGAAATCATACCATGGTCATTTGATGTCAGATCCTGTTTGGCCTGTCCAACGGAATCCGGGGTCTCTTGGCTCTCTTTTTCTCTAAACCTAAGAAGGAGAAATTATAAAGGTTATATTAACTGAAAATATCAGAATTAATTATTAGAGTTGGAGGTTCAACAGTCAGGAAAGGAAACATTATGTAAATTCTATTAAATATAGTTTGATTTGCCATTAGGAATGATGAAAATCTTGCTCCTTTACCTACTACATGGTTGAAAAAAATTATAATTATTCACAAAAAATAAAAAAAATCAGCCCTGGTGTCATGTGCTGTAAAGGAGATATTTGTAAGTGACATTTTCTGAATTAAAGAAAGAAAATTATGAAAATCACTTCTTTTTGTGGTGACCTAATAATTCTCTCTAACTGAACTGAGCTAATTAATTATTTCTAATGAAGCGTCTCTCACCTTTTCCTGTTCAGCCCATTGTCACGAAAGCCTTTAGCAAAGGGGTTGTTGTCAATCTTGAGTTTTGTGATCTGTGTTGAGGAAGAGAAACAAACAGTCCCATCGGCAAAAACCACAGACATGCCAGGCAAAGAGCATAAATCATGCAGAATAGTTTAATAAAACATAATAAATCAAGAGAGAGAAACAAACATCAACTTTTACTTAAATGTTTTGCTGATAT